CCAAGTCTAATCCATAATTTAGGAAAAAGACCATTTTGCCCCTCCTAAGATCGAAAACCTGCACAACTTGCCAAAAAGACACATTTGGTCAAAAGTCAAAGAAAGTCAATGGCGTCCGTATGCGCGTTGTACACTTCTCTACGTTGGGCGTAGAGCGTTGGGCAAGAGGAGTCGGGCTTGCAACTGGCTAGGTTGAGCGTGGTTAGAAGTATGCTCGACCTATGCGCCTGATTCCAACATTAAACTATTTAAGGTCTTAATCATTAAGACACTTATTCAAACTTCAGATATGGCCATAAAGAGACATATTAAACCATAAAGTACTTAAATTTAAGCCTTTTCAGTGCTACAAAGATCTAAAACCCAAAACCCTAACATTTCACTTCACTAAAGACTACATAACTCTTGCATGGGAGAAGGGAAAGGGCCAAGCTAACATTTTTATGACTCTAAACATCTTAAAACGTTTGAAAGGACTGCTTATAAGCTCTGAAGTCTTCCATACTCACAAAGGTCAATGCTTTGCGATAAAATGAACTCAAATTCAAGACTAAACAAGATCTATCAAAATAAGCTCCAATGTTTGAACTTTATACCTCAAAAAGGTGGACAAGGAAATGAAGATTTTGGATCTAGAAGCTAGGATGCACCTCCACCTCATGAATGAGATTCCTTTACTATCAAGAACACTCAAAAATCATTTTTAAGCTTCAAATCTCACTCACAAAAGCTAGGGGTCGATTTTAGGGTTTGGAGGATATGGAGGGTAGTTATAAGAAGGTCCAAGGGGGATTACGATGTTTAAATAGGGGTCGCAACCTAAAAGATTAGGGTTTGGGGAAATCATGAGTACGCTCTGCGTACACACGTGTACGCCCAACATACTCAAATGTTGAAGCATCACAAAATGTTGACTTACACCTAACGTACGACTTTATACGCCCAACATAAGGACCTCTTTCGAAAACTGTTACAAACACAAGGGACTGGAAAAGAAAATACATGACAACAGGTGTTACAAAGTTGTTGTCGTTTAATCTCAAATAACTTTTAATTAGAATTTGAATAAGTGTATTATTAAATGAAAACTTAAATGCAATTAATTAATTTACCTTATTCTATTTATATAATTTATCTTTGTATTGTTATAATGTGAATAATTTGATACATTATTCTATTATAACTTTTAATATACAAATCTTGCTATAAATTAGGATATACTCTTGAAACCGTATGATTTCTACCTAAATTATGATGCAAGCTTTTATTAGAATCTCACATAAACATACAATGCATTTAGCATGTTTTTTACTAGAATATGGTAGTCTATGTCATTATAAATAATATTTCTATATCTCTTCTCCAAAAGAAAGATATGATAATTTTTGGTCATTTTCATTGAGAAATATGTTTTTTTATAGATTCTTTATAACGATATAATCAATCATTTTCAACAAACGAAGTCCGCCGGATTCAATTGTAATTATTTATACTATACTTTAGGAGGTATAATTTTATACATTAAACAACTTTGTTCAAATAGTTATTTTTTATTTTGAATATATTTATATACTTAATATCCAAATTGTTGGATCTATTATTGATTTAAACAAATACCCATGTTAACTATATAATTGTATTTATATGCAACGAGATTACACATCACACATACTTATAAAACTAGCATTTTTTCTTGAATCTCATACATTTGAAACCCCCATAAATATTTGCCAACACCATATGCATTTGAAGCCCCCACACCCTTTCACCTTCAAACTATTTAATCACATATAGTCTCATTCCAAGAAAATCACACATTCTATAAGTTCAACACCCCATGCATTTCAAACCCCTACATCATTTCACCTTCATTATATATGTAGTTATATTTGTACATTTTTCTTACAAAAAGTCATCATTTGGTTGAAGATATTATGATTCAAAAGTTTTCATATAGTTGAAACATTCACGGTCCAAATAAGATGATTTGAAGAAATGGGTTATGTCGCATCGATGGGTAATTGTAATATGTTTTTTTCTTTCAACCAAAACAAATGAAGCTTTTCTATTCTTTCTTTATATTCAATTTCTCATTTGACCTTTATATGTGATTTGTATGTATTACTCAATCTTGAATGTGACTCTCCAAACATCAATGTTTTGCTTGGAATATCTTTCTAATTCTTCTTTTTCAAGAAAAAAAATTTGGTTGCAGGTTAGTGAAGAATTGTCATCAAGTTTCTATGGTTGAATGGTGTTCAATAAAGAAAGAAGATTCAGAAAACGGATATAGTTTTTTTTTTGTTTGAGCAAAATAGACGAATATTAGTTTTTTCTTTTGATTTAAATATATATATTTATGTAACATTTTTATTTATATATTCAACCACCTAATGTTCTTATTTATTTGATTGTAGTTTTTCTATTTTGATTATGTTTATTTTCTATTATTTTGCTGTTGGGTTATCCTACACAACATATTTACGGGACAATATTTAAAAGATAACATAATTTTTAACATTTGATATGTAATTATGATGATTTATAATGAAATGTTCTTCATATGAAATTAATTTATCCATATTACTACAACAATAATTACATATGACATTTACGAAAATATATATTATATGTGATTTGTTTAACATATATATGCACCTATGTATATTATAAATTTATAATTATATATCTTTATGTTTAATAACTGAAGGGATTAAATTGATGTATCAAAACTAATTATTTAGATGAATATAATAATAATAATAATAATAATAATAATAATAATAATAATAATTACATATTTCCAAGTACTGTATTCATTTGAAACTCCCATTACAACTCAAAAGTTTTCTAATTTATGTATATTTATTAGTTACAACTCAAGAGTTTTTAACTTATAATTATTAATTACTAATCAATAATAACTTTTTATTTTCCTTTCTTTTATAAGGTTGTAAAGTTTTGCTCATTAAAAACATTAATGTATTTGAAGAGATTTGTGATTTAAATATGAAAAGTTATAATAAATGTTTTAGTGTTTTTATGTTATTAAAAGTTGTAGTGTTTATTTTTCATATTTTTTTATTATTCGTTGTATATATATCTTTTTTAATACAAATGTTATAATAGATTTTTTTGTATTTTTATGTTACTAAAAGTTGTAGTTCATATTTTTGGTCATACATTTTGTTACTCATTATATATAGATTATCATACGTTTGATATATAATTTACACAATTTTAAACAGTTTATAAAATTATCAAATAGTTGTATATATCACAATGCCTTAAAAATTAAAACTATAATCATCATATCATACGATATTATAAAGGAAACATTTTTTCTTTCACCACATTCATTTGAAACTCTCATCTTTTCATATTTCCATATAATATACTTAATTTATTAACTTAAATATGCTTTTAATTGTAAACATTATCATAAATGGAAGAATTTGTGACTTATCAATATGATATACTTAATTTGTTAACTTCAATATATAGTTAAATAAATAACTTACATTAATATATTAAATAAGCTTAAAAATTTAGTGTAAAATTTAAAATCTAAAGTAAAATATCAGATAATGTTTAAAAAAATTTCAATATATATATTTTTTAACATAGTTAAAAGGAAAACATTAAATATAATAATAATATAAGAACCTAAATTGATGAATCAAATTAACTGAAAAGTGTCTGAAAACTATATTCTAACAATATATTTTTAATCTGCGTCGCGCAATGCACGGGAATTCGTCTGGTAGTATACTATAAAAGATGTTATTTTCCTATCACTACATTCATTTGAAACCTTAACCTTTTCAACTTCTTTTCTAATTAATACATTAAATTCATTATTATTCTAATTTCGGTACTAATTCTTTATTTTCAAACCCTTTTTTCTAAATAATCAAAAGTTTAAGTTTAAGTTTAAGACCTAAACCAACAATGCAAAATTAATAAAAAAATATATAAAAAATAACTTTTTTATAATAATTTAAAAGTTCCAATATAATATTAAATATAGAACCTATCTCGAGGTTTTAAAATAATTTAATAATTAATGTTTAAATATAATGTTAAATATTTAAATTCATTTAAAACCTCTGGATATATTCTATTAAAATATCGTAATCATAAAATATGCCTATAAAAATTGATTAAGCGATTCATAATTTATAAAAATTATAAATCAATAAATAAGTTTATTTTTATTTAAAAATTTACTTATTTTTATTTAAAAGTAATAAATGTTAAGATATAAGGTTAAAATGTATGGATATATTCTATTAAAATATCATTTTCATAAAATAGGTCTATATAAATTGATTAGCCGTTCGTAATTAATTAAAAATAAATATAAATCAAAAAACAAGTTTATTTTTATTTTCATATACAGGATAGTGACTATTGAGATGATGTAATTTTAATATTTATATATGTTATATTTTATTTAAAATAATCAAAATATTTTATAATACATTAGTGTTAAAATTATTAATTCAAAGTTAGTAAGCAGTAACAATGATATTTTTTTTTAAACAACATACTCATAAATACGCACCAAAGCGCGATAAACATAACTTCACAATGTTGTTATTAAAAAATATATCATTGTTATAATACATTCGCCTATTTTTGTAAATACAATCTCACATATGCCATTAACCTACTAGAATTTTATTTATGTTACCGTTTTCTCTATTAAAAGTTATTTCAAATCTATATACGCACCAAAGCGCGATAAACATATCTTAGTTCCCTTACGAAATTCAATCACAAACACATGCACAGGTTTGAACTGGATTTTTTGTAAGACCATTGCCGCGTGCCCGCGTTTGTATCTAAAAAGAGAAACCAGAAAATCTGTAAAACAAAATTTATTATTTTTTAGGGGATTATTATTTAAATATCTACTTTACATTCTTTTTGAAGAAAATATAACATATAAACCAGCTTGATAACAATGATGCTATCAATAATTAATTCTACATCTAAGCAAATTATAATAAATTTAAAAGTTTTTTTTTTTTTGTCTCGATCACTATTTCTGTAACTTTTTAAGCTTTCATATACCTTTCTCCTATAAATCCCCACCTCAGTTTCTCTCAAACCTTCACCAAAATCTTTCTCTCTTTCTCCCTTCATCAATCTCTTCACAATGTTGCCAAGAAGTAGAACCATGCCATCAAGAATCATTCATGGAGTTGTAAGTTCAATATAAATATGTATATAATTACATGGTATTTATTTCTTTTTACTTGAAATAATTTATTTATATTGTTAGGTCGAAGAACGACACGATATCATGCACTATTGGAAAGTTGATGATCGAACTAATGCTAGCACCGAGACCCAAGCCATGAACATCGAAGACAATTATTCAAAGAGTTTCGATGATGATGGTCGTTTAAAGCGTACAGGTAAATATCGTATATTAATTAATCTATAATTAACCATGTCTAAAAGTTCACTAAATTTTCAAGGGCTTATCATGATTTTCTCGTGAATTATAAGGTACTTTTTGGACCGCGTCATCACATATCATCACCGCAGTGATCGGGTCAGGAGTCTTATCCTTGGCATGGGCCGTCGGGCAACTCGGTTGGGTTGCTGGACCGACCATTATGATATTGTTTGCTTTAGTTATTCTGTATACTTCTAATTTGTTGTCCCAGTGTTATAGGTCTGGTGACCCAGTCACCGGACCTAGAAGCTATACCTACATGGAGGCTGTAAAAGCTCATCTAGGTACAAATCATTGTAGCATTATATTTACATAAATTGAAAGCATGAATGATAAGAATTGAGAATTTAATCATATCTTGATTGTTTTTGTAGGAGGGCGTAAAGTGAAAGTATGTGGCATGATACAATACATCAATTTATTTGGGGTTGCAATTGGCTACACAATCGCAGCCTCGGTTAGCATGATGTAAGCCATTATTGCACTTATATTTAAAAAGTATGTGAACATAAGAAATCAAACTTGACCACTAATAGATTTGTTTAAAAATGTTGGATTTTCTTGACCTAATGATTGATTTTTACTGGATATTAAGATAGATTATAAGAGTTTTATAGTAAAGTTATCGAAATTATATTCATTTCAGGGCGATAAAAAGATCAAATTGTTTTCACAAAAGCCATGGAAAGGACCCATGCCATATGTCAAGCAATGGATACATGATAACATTTGGGATTATAGAAATACTTTTTTCCCAGATTCCAGATTTCGATCAAGTATGGTGGCTTTCCATCGTTGCAGCTATTATGTCATTCACTTACTCTTTTATCGGTCTTGCACTTGGGATTGCAGAAACGACAGGTATGTATGTATGTATAGGGTTTTAATTTATTGACGTTTATATATATAGAAAAGAAGAACCTTTATCTTTTTCTCATTTTATCTTGTCCCCTAAAATACACACAAGCATATAAAGGGGCTTTATATGATGATAAAAACGATCATGATATTTGTTGGTAGCTTGAAATATTGTGGTTATGGTAGGATCAATGATTGATGTCCTAAGCCTAACTCAATGATAAAATATAAAAAAAAATATATACTAAGACCCGAACTAATCATTATGTTCAAGATTCACTTAGATACTCCTTATAAGGGTTTCTAGTCCAGCAATATAAGAAATTAGAAATCATCAAGTGTTGTCTTTCCTGTTCGAGATTAAGGGTTCAAGTTCCATTTAGGATATAAGTGGAATTAAGAGTAGCTTACGAGTATATATAATTTATCAGTTCCAAAAAAAAAAAAAAAAAAAAGTTGCTTAGCAGAATGAAAAAGGAAAAGAAAACTTTGGCTCTATGGAGAATTTCAAGTTATAGATCATTTGATAATTCACGCTTCATTCTTGTGATTGCCTACCATTTAAAAAGAAATGATAAAAATTCCTTCAAGTCATAATTTAGTTCAAATTAAAAGAGAGGATAGTGAATGATGACGAGAAGTTCATGAGAATCTTTCTTTTTCTAGAACATTTTAGTTGCAAATATCTTTATCTTATCTTTATATATTAATGAATTGTATCAGTATTACAAAGTGTATAAAGATGATGGTGATACTTATAATATAAATATTGTGTATGATTTTTTTTTTTGTAGAAAATAAAGAAATCAAAGGGAGTTTGACTGGGATAAGCATAGGAACATTAACTCATGCCGGCACAGTGACTGCAACACAAAAGTTATGGAGGAGCTTTCAAGCATTAGGAGCTATTGCTTTCGCATATTCATATTCCATTATTCTCATTGAAATTCAGGTAAAAATCAGATAATTTTCTTTCTAAAAATCTATTAATATGTTACTCCTATGTAAATAATATTAATATATATCGATCACATATTGCAATAGAAATAATATACTTATTAATATTTTTTTTAAATTCTATAGGACACAATTAAAGCACCTCCGGCTGAATATAAGACGATGAAAAAGGCGACTTATTTAAGTATTTTTGTGACGACGGCATTTTATATGCTTTGTGGGTGTATGGGGTATGCTGCTTTTGGAGATGAGGCCCCAGGGAATCTCTTAACCGGGTTCGGGTTTTATGACCCGTATTGGCTACTTGACATAGCCAATATCGCTATTGTAGTGCATCTCGTTGGTGCTTATCAGGTACTAATATTCAAATCTCTATTTCATGATTAAAGCAGTTTACCTTTTGAGTTATTGCGTACGCATATACCATTTTTATTGTAAAGACAAAAACACAACACTATTCAATGACAAATGATCAATTTAATTAAAGAAAGATATCTACGTACATATTTTACATTTGCATGTCTACAAAATGCATGGTTTCTTTCTTAATCTTTCCTAAACAATGATCATTTTTATGATAGTTTCATTTGTAATGATGTTATAACACGTTAGCATTATTGTTACTGACGTTGTAAAAACATTTAGGTTTATTGCCAACCATTATTTGCATTCGTGGAGAAATGGAGTGCACAAAGATGGTCGAATAGTGATTTTGTAACAGCGGAATATGACCTCCCAATTCCCTTTTATGGGATTTTTCATGTCAACTTTTTTCGTGTTGTGTGGAGAACTATTTTTGTCAATGTTACCACTGTCATAGCAATGCTAATGCCTTTCTTTAACGATGTAGTTGGACTACTAGGAGCCTTAGGGTTTTGGCCATTGACAGTTTACTTCCCTATTGAAATGTATATGTCTCAAAAGAAGATCAAAAAATGGTCAACCCAATGGATCGGGTTTCAAATACTTAGTTTCGGGTGCCTTTTGGTTTCTGTAGCAGCGGCTGTTGGATCCGTTGCAGGAGTTGTGTTAGATTTGAAGACTTACAAGCCATTCAAGACCAGTTATTGATCAATAACATGTTTGATGATATATATGGAATCTCTAAACTTGTATCCAAATTATAGATTTCTACAAGAGCTTTAATCGACAACTTTTAATGTTATTACTTTTTGTTTTGTATAAGCTAGTTTATAAATTTTTCAAAACTCGTATCATCAAACGTAACCTATAAAATTACATATTGTAATCAAGATAATAACAAAAAATGATTTCCTTAATTAGGATAAACAAAAAGGAAATGAATCAAAACAAATTATCACATAAATATTAACACCAAAAACTTTTATAACTTCTATGTATTCGACTTAGATTTTGATTTAGATGATTTCGACTGTAACACTGCAGCTTTCACAAGTGTTGTTGGCTTAATTGCACTCTTTGGGTTAAGTGCTTTTCGTAGTTTAAACACAGCCCAAGCTGTGCCTATCGCATGCCCTGCTGCACCCATTCCTTCATGTGTAACTTCTGCTGCATCTTCTCCATGCCTTCATCACCAATTCCCATCAATTAGTTCAAGAAATTTATATTGATTTCTTTATATTACAACAGAATTGTATTTTGATTATATGAGAAAGTGTGTTACCTGTGCGAAACGTAGTCAGTTGTGACAGTTGATGTTGTGGACATCACGTTTCTCCCTGCAACTTCAAGGGATTCACATACTTTATCTGCGATCGAAAACGCAGAAACAGAATTAAGAAATGATTCGAGAATTATTTATGGAAAGAAAAGTAATGATTTAAGAAGGGAGACAATGACATACTGAAACCATCCAAAGACGCGAGAATTATTTCACCAGGGATAAAGTTGAAGAGCTTCTTGCCGGGTTTGGAGTTCACGACGGAGCCTGTGATGAATCCGGATACCTTCACAACACCAGAGAGAATTCCGGTTGCTACGCCTTCTGACATTTTTGTCAATCTCTTAACCCTGAAACGAAATGAAATTGAATAGATTCGGAATTAGAAGTGTTTCGATGGATAAAAGTAATGTAGTAGAAGAAAACAAGATGATACCTCTTCACTCTCTTCAAAGCTTTTGGACTAACTTCAGATTTTGAACCAGGTTTCGTCCTCTTCTTCAAAAACTCGTTTCCCCATTTTAATCGATCCACGGTCACATCTCCACACCACAAAATCCCCTTGATTAACTGACCTGATCCCGCAGCAATCATCCTCGCAACAGACCCACTGTAATCCTCAACATTTGGCGCCAACGTTGTCCAATACGCCGCGGCTTTAGCCTCCGCAGAACCACCATTATCCACCGCTACCGCTGCCGACACACTCCTTTTGACCTCTTTCACCGAAAACGCACTGTACTCCTCTAAAACCCGATCGAACTCCTCTAACTCCTTCTCCAGACCTTTACCCGAAATCGTTAGCCCGTAATTTAACAAACTCTCAGATTCGAAATCCGAATCGTTTCCGGATTTTGTATCGGAAGGCACGCGAAGAGTGAAGAAATAGTGTGATCCGTCTAATTTCACGGCGGCTTCGTCTTTCGCGAGCGGCCATTGAATTACGTCGCCGATACGTGCTAGGACAGCGACGATAGTGTTCCCTTGACGGAGACGGATTATTTCTAATTCCCCGGAAGCAAGTTCGATGCTCTGTTGCACGTCGATTAAGTGGATGATTGAACCTGGGATTTTGATAACAACTTCCTCAGATGATTCGAATGGCGACAGTAGTTGTGGAGCGTAAGACTGATGGGTGTCAACCAACAGATCTTCGTGGATATCATTCGTATCAATAGTTGGGTATAGAGACGGAGCAGAAGGAGAATAGGATGATGATGAATAAGAATATGTTGAGGCTGGGTGTGATTGAATTACTTCTGGATACAGATTTCTAGGGTTTTTCAGGTTTTGCGATGCCATTTTTGATCAAATAAATTACCAGGGGGATACAGATTTGGGGGATTTTTATGAAGACGGAGTCTTAGAAATTAAGAAACTGCAATCGCGTAGACGAGTGGGAAAACGAGTAAGGTGCGTGGCCCAACAGCACGACTTTCTCCCTCCTTTGAAACAATTAGTTTAATTATTTTACTATTAAAAATAACTACATAAATCGTGGATGTGGTTTGGTCAATTGTCGTACAATCAGTTTCTGTCATTAATTATTTTGGCTAATTCAATCGTTCAATTTGTTTATTGTACCCTCTTATATTTATGAGTAGTATTTATCTAGTTTAGTCTTTGGGGCTGTTTGTGTTGTTTGTTTTTTGTGTGTAGATCTGTGCAACTATTTTTGTCTGTGCCGTACAGACATATGTTCTCGTAGACATATGGAGTGCACAACCAGCACCATCGCCACCACCACCACCACCTCCACCTACCACATCCATCATTATTATCAACACCACTGTCACACCCCCAAACCAAGGATGGCGGAAACGTCCGGGGGTGGAGGACTTCATGTAGAGTATCACAACAATGAGTATAATAGTGCTCAAAGTAATTACAACCGACACAAATATAATTGAAAACGTTACATCAAAGCACATGTTTACATGATTCACATCAATTACATTATAATACAAAATGAACTGTTTGACGATTTATCGTCCCATCCTCAAAACGTTGTTGATTTCCTGTTTTCACTGAATTCCTGAGAATACAAGTAGTTTTGAAAAGTGTCAACACAAAGGTTGGTGAGTTCATAAGAGATTTCGTTGGAAAAGTAAATCGTTTTCCTTGTAAAAGCGTTAGAATATGTATCCAGAAAACCCGATATTTTCTTTAAAATCTGCGTAATGTAGTCTTGTGACTGAAGACCAAAATGTATAAGTAACCTTTCTTATTAATAGAAAATATTATGCACTTAAATGGACATGGACGCGTTTGAATTAAATGAAATTTCTGTATGTTCTCATGTTCGTTAATACTTTATATATATGTAGTCCTAAATTAGAGGACCGAGAAATAACAAGTATTGACCATACTTAAAAGTATAAATGTGATTTCAAATGATGTGTAGTCGTAACTACCAAAACCAAAAGTTTACAGTAATATCTGTACTCATAGAGATAAAAAGGTGATTTTAAATCGACATAAAACTCGTTTAGGTTTTAAAAATAAAATCCCGTAAACTTATGGATTGTTATATCCCTATGTGAGTCGCTATAATCATACTATGACTATGTGAACCTGCCACGACGTTCTCAATGTCGCGAAAAATAAAATGACATTTGTCACCCGTAGACCTGCAGGTCCAACTGTAGCTAGCAGCAAGGTGTGGGGTGTCAAACCCAATATAGATCTATATACAAGTATCACGTTCTCCCTCAAGGAGATTCTGATTATAACTACCAGGAATTATATCCCGCACTCGGACGTACGAGGAGAGAGAGAGAGAGTCTCACAATATAGGTTAACAAGTTTACGTGAAATGTGTGTGAATATAAATATTTCTGTATGAATGTACCCTTCTTGTACGAGTGCGTTGAGTGATGTATCATAAACTATACCTATTATAGTTTATCTAAAATGTATGTAATATGTATGAACTCTTTTATGGAAATGTATTAGTGTTATAAATATATTCAAACTATACTTTTTATAGTTAAATAATACGTGTTCCAAAATGAATGAATAATATTTAATATGAATGTCTTAGTTTCAGTTCATAATGATAAACTAACAAGGAAACACATTCAAATATTAAAACTTATGATTATACACTTTGCTCAACATAATACAAAGTGTTATGATATTTACATGATGTTGGCTAACTTTAGCCATTCTGCCCTGTTTTTGGAAAAATCATAGAAAAATCATACGAAGTCGAAAACTAGATCCGTAAATTCTGAGAGTTCACAAAACGTGTCTAGTTTACTCATAATTTTTATCACGATTTTTAATGACCTCCAACTTGGGTGAAAAAGTCCAAAATCACAGACTGGTCCGGATTGTTGTTTGAAATGATAGGCAGTTTTGTAAAAATCACCATAAATTGTAGAAAAATCGTATGGAGATGTGCAAGTAGCCATTTTAAAGCTAAAAACTTGAACTATTTTCACCTTGTACAGTTTTGAAAACAAAAATGTTTAAGATGCCCAAAACAGTCCGTGAATGGAGTTGAACTTTTCTGATGAAGGCTGTTAGAAAATTTTAGTTATGTTCTTAGTGTTTTAACTTGTATTCCCCCCCCCCCCTGAAAACTTGAGAAAACATGAAAATGTAGGGGTATGAACTCACCTTAAGTGATTTCAGTATAAGTGTTGAAGAAGAGAAGTGTTCAACCCAAGAACACTTGAAGAATCACTTGAAGATTCGAAGATCTAACACAATTATGAGAGAGTTTGTTTAAGATATCCATGATTTGAGTGGAAATAAGTGAGATAATCATAAAGAGAATGGATTATGCTTACCAAATGTGGAGGAAAAACTCAAGATCAGCCCTTGAATCTCGAATTTCTAGAGAGAGAAAGTGAGAGAGGAAAGAGTTTGATCTTCTTGTGAAATGAGAGCAAATGAGAGAAGTGAGGAGAGAGGATGAATATTCAGCTCTCAAAAACGTGGGAAAGAGTGATAATTGAGTGGAAAGGACATTGATGTGACCTAGGTAAGGTGGGGAGGTGTGGCTGGTCATAGAGTGGGTGTGGGAGTGGTTGCTTGTGTCATAAGGTAAAGCAAAGTCAACACTCCACCTCTTTGTACTTTACCCACTTGCTTTCATTATTTAAATAAAGATTTTTATGAAAATATGATTAAATTGTGAATATTTAGGGTTTATTATGTTAAAATATGATTTTGGGTGAAAATCCCGCGTTAAAATAATTAAAAACGGGCCTTAAACGCAAAACTACGCGAAAACCGGGAGAAAATGAGTTCCCAGCGAGACCTCTCGGTCCTAGGCCGAGGTTCGGTCCCTAGGCCGAGACTCGGTCCATGCTGAGGTTTGTAGCCGGAAACGAACAGAGGGAAACGAAGGGGCGAGGAGGTGAGAAACGAGAAGGCGCGAACCAGAAGTGAGAGGCGAGGCGAGGGTTCGGTCCGGCGATGAAAGGCGAGAAGTCAGAACCGAACGGACTGTAGTGAACAGTACCTTCGGTTCGGTTAGTGAACAGTACCTTCGGTTCGGTTAGTGAACAGTACCTTCGGTTCGGTTTCGGTTCCTTGCTCTCGGGTTCGGTTCCTTGCTCTCGGGTTCGGTTCCTCATGGGCGAGGTTCGGCCCTGAGAGGACCTTCGGCTCAGGAGGGTTCGGCTCCTCCTTGCTCTTGGTCCCTAAGAGGACCTTCGGGTCCTAAGAGGCTTCTCTCTTCTCGAGAGGTTTCGGTTCCTAATGTCCATTTTTCTCGTTTTTACCCCGTTTTAAGCCGTTTTTGACCCGGTTAAGGGTCGGAATGACCCGAATGATTCCAACAAGTTACGGGAAACTTTTGAGAGAGATTTGGGAGAGATTTCTCACACTTGGAGAGATTTGGGAGAGATTTGACATTCTTG